GATCGACCGGCAAGTTTGCCGCGAATTTCTTAAAGTTTCGCCCCCGCCGTCTCTCGACTCGTCGGGGATAACGGGCCAATCGGTACGGGTGATCGATTACCCGAAGGGAGATTATATTTATTACCCAGAAATTATCCCAAAGGAAGAAGCCCTTCTCGAAATTTCGACCCCATACCCCGAGAAGGAAAAAAATGTAATTGAACCAAAGAAACATCTCGCTAACTCAACGAATAATTATTTCACTCGAATAAACTCGAATGAATTGGATGCAAGGTTTACTCGGAATTATGACAATTTATTCCGTGAAAAAAGTCGGAAAAAAAAAAATGAAATGTATCTTTCGTTCAATGACATCCTTTCTTTCTCAGGGCCCTCCGCCCCGAAATTGCCGGATAATTTATTCCTCGCGCGTTCTTCGCTTCCTTTCATTTATTCCTTTCTTTCGAGAATTCCTGTATCCCCGGTCGCGTTTCCTTCTCCCATGAATTCCGAGGAATTTCCTGCTGTCTTTCAGGATTTTTTGTTCCTTCATTTTTTTTTTTTTCCGTAACTAATCCTTGTCCTTCGACAAAGGACCCTTGCCTCGTGTAGCAAGGAGCTGAAAAACGCGGCGGAGGGCGCGGGTGCGCTTCTTATTTACATTTAAAGCCGAGCCCCTCCCCGCCACGGGTTAACGCCTCGGTACGAGCGAGCAGAATGTATACACTCGCCCGGAATAATTCCGACCTTGTCTAAACGCTCCCTCGACAAGATGAGTTTCCTAGGCCGCTCTTGGAGGAGACCCGCGCCCCGCGACGCTCTCCGGCGAATCGTTTCTTCCCTCCCCCGTCTCTCCTTCCATTCCCGATGCACTTTTGGTCGTGGGAGGCTTGCATAATGCACCCGGGGAAATTGGCACGCCGCAGGTACGCGCACGGGTCGCGAGTGCGCGATAACTCGGGGATTACTTGATGTAGAAATTCCTGCTTCTTTCTCGGAGGTGTCGACGAATACTCCCACGAAGACTCGAGATTCGCGGTCGAGAAACTCCTCTTCGAAATGAAACGATTTTTTTGCCCTATTTTTTTCAATCATTACTTTTTTTTTATTCTGCAATTAATTACTGATTCTTACGTCAGTGCGTTCTAGAGTCTCGAGCAGCTTGCGTGGATTTGAGATTTATAGTTTATCGCTGTTTTTATTATTCCTCTCCGTGTGGTATGGCATTCAGATTTCCTTGTAGGTGTTAGTGCACCGTTCTCTCGGTAAATTACTTTTTGGGTTCGATATCGCAGGAGATTACCGGATAAACGCGTGCGGGTGCGGGCTCGGACGAGGGAAGCGAATCGACCGAGGAATCGATTATCGGAATCGCTTTGTCTCGACTCGGCGCGGAGAATCGACCGCGGGACCTTAATGGCGCGTTAGATTATTTCATTTCGACCGAATATGTCGAGCCTCGAGTCTGGGCCTTTTTCTTTTTTCCTGCCCCGCGAGGCGAGTATCTGATGCATATAAAATCATTCGATTCAATAATCGCCGGGTTTTGTTGATTTTGCGTTGCGCGACCGCATTGTTTTCCCTCCTTTGTCAAATTACTTCGCTCGGCGATCGGGCCAAATAATTTCACGTGGGTGATTATTATCTTTTATCCGGCCCCGACGATAACGTCCCATTTCCGATCACCCGGGGAAGTTGTTAAATCTCGCCTCTACAGGTTGCATGTTTTTTTATTTTAACGCAGTTTTTTTTTGTATATCACTTTTCGAAAGGAAGACGAGTAGGTAAAAATGTCGGAATTCGCGGATATCGATAGCACCCTTGGTACCCGTCGAATTGTTACGCACGCGATAATATCGATACTGCCACTCAGCCGGTGTGTCGATCAATATCGGTTATTGATGTCAACGCTCGACATCGAACACCTCCCCGGTGACATATTGCCACGGTATCTCCGCGCAAAGTAATGACACCGGTGTTCCGACATTTGACGCCCGTGTCGAAAGAAATTAACCACCTCGAGTGCGTAAGGCGACACCGCGAAATAAGGCAGTCCAGCGCCTCGGCGCATCAAACTCGAGTTCGAAGTAAACTCGGTACTGTAGTTCAAAGTTAATCAGAGAACGGTATACGTGTATGTCCGATACGACGGTAAAATATGACCGGCGATAACGAAGCGGGAGCCGTCCGTCCCGCGCGGCTAATTCTTTGCAAATGCCCCTACCGACGTCCGGCGAGTCCTTTTATAGCCTCGGTCCCGCTGCCCCCTCCCCGCCCCGGCCCACGTGCGCACGCACCTCTCCTCCTCCCACCGACAACGCACTATTTCGAGGGCAAGTATGACCGTTTCCCTTGATTCGTCAATTAGTTTAGATGCCACTCAAAGTGGCATACTCGCAATTGATACTCGCTCCTTCCGATAATCTATGATTCGATGCTTTTAATATACCCCACCGCATCTAGGGACTCCGCTTTCGCGGCGGGTCGTAAATTAAAGGGCGCGACACCGACGTTTATGAATATTACCGGACGTAAATATTGGCCGCACTCGTAATTACGTTGCCCGAATTAGCATCGATTCTTGGCATCGAGGGCTTTCACGATCAATTTGCCTCGGCGGCCGGTATGGGGTATACCTCTCCCCCGGGACATATTTCCGGGATGCCTCCGTGTATGCACGCGCATTCTTACCGAGGGCCGGAAAAGGCGTATTATCGAGTTTCCCCGGTGGAATAATATCAACACGAGCGGAATCTACAATTGCCGATACGGCGGGATCGACTTTCATCGCCCGCCTCGACGTACTCGTATTTACCGGGAAAATCGTCCCAGGTTACGACTTCCGTGTATTACATTTCGCGTATATCAGCCATACTCGCGTCACGGTACCCTCCGATAATTGGGTCATATCATTTCCGCGGAAATATATAATTTTTTTCCCATGACTCTCCACGAATTTCGCCGGCCCTTTATCCGTTCGTCCAGGAAAAGGACTCGAGGAAGGGTTAATAAAAATGCATCCTCGTGAATTTTTCCCTCCTCTCCCTTCGTTCCATTTTTTCCCCGACTTTGAGAGTAGGTTTCGACCCGGGTGCCCCCGTCTCTTGGAGGAGAGCGCACTCGTGCTTTTGGCGCGAGCTCGACCCGGAAGATAATCTCCGATGCGACTCGTCGTTCTTTCTCGCGAGATCCTCGATAAACACTCGAGATCCATGGCCGTTTTTATTGTCGATTCTCGAGGGGCCCCGGGGGTGGGGCAAAGGGACCGACGAGGGGGCGGAGAGGAAGGGTTGTCTCGCTTTTTTGCGCGCCTCCGTCGCGATGAAGGACAGGCCTTCGATTAAGAGTCCTCTCGTCCCGGCGGATGCGACGAGGAACGGGGAGGAGGCAGCCGAGGCGGGCAAAAACCGTAAGAGAAACGAGGGGACACTCGGAGCCGGGAAGAGGAAGGATGGCCGGGATTGCAGGACTGTATAAACAGGGACGTTTTGTCCCATTGCGTCGCCGGCGTAACGCGGTGTCTTTAATGGCCAGAAATTCACCGACCGAGTTCGCTCGCGTTTATTTTCCACCTCGTTCGGCCATCGATCCCGCCCGTTTCTCCGCCATTGCGATTTTTCTCTCTCTCCAGGAGGACGTTCCTCCCTCCGTCAGATGCAGGGGTCTTCCTTCCCCCGAGGGGAGGTTGGATTTTCTATGCCTCGCTTTCCTCCGTCCCCTTCCTCCTATCTTTTTTTCTTTTTCTTTTCCATCAGGTTTTCTCGATTTCGAATCTCGACGCATCTCTAGGGGGTGCGTCGATACGCACCGAGGCTCGAAGGCATCGGACCAGTCCCGTTCCCATTCCCCGTTTCTCGTGTTCCGATACCCGGGTGCGATACATCGATCCCCCGGCTCGGCCTCGAATCGGCCGTAGTCGATCTACCCGGAAAACATTTATCAGCCTAACCGAGTCGGACGTCGGTTACATTGATCGGTACCGCGTATGCGTACTCTCTTGTGTGTATTATTTTACGTACAACTCCGCCCAACGCGGTACAGGTGTTAGGGTTGGTGCACCCCCGCGCAGGTGAGACGGACGGAGTACAAACGACCCGCGTCTTCGTTACCGGCCGAGAATTCAATCGAATCGACATCCGCAGTCTCTCGCCCCCGTCCTCCGAGGCACCCTTCCGGCGAGGGGAGGGACGGGGGAGAGGGAGGGATTTGTAAATCTACGTCGTTTCTCTTCATCGGGCTCGCATCCGCGTTCGTTCCAGCGACGATCTGTTACGGACAGGCGCGCTCGTTGGAGGGGGAGCGGGGGTGGCGTCGACAGCGGGAGCGAAAACTGGAGCGAGAGAGAGAGAGAGAAAGGGCGGGTGGATAGACAGACGGGAAGTCTAGCGAAGAACAAGGAACCCCGCGCGCCCGTCGCGTCCGACAGGACGACCGGGATTTCCTCAGGTTCTTTTTCTCCCCCGTACCCCCTACCCTCCCACTCCGCGCGCGGTGCGACTCTTGCGAGCACGTCGCGCCGCGCGCGCATCCGCGACCCGACTGAAGCGCTCTTTCGTCGTTCTGCTTGCAGGTTGGCACCGGCGCGCTCCCCGAGCGCGAATCGCGGGGTCGAACCCGGCCCCTTCCCCGCGCGCGCAGCCGCAGCGCGCAGGCGCGCGCTCGCTCGCCCGCAGGCGCGCGCGGCACCTGGCGGGCCGGCGGCGCGGCGCGCGGGCGCCAGTGCGAGTCCGACCGTCCGGCGGGCACGACCGAGAGGCATGCGAGGACCGGCCGGCCACGAGTCGGCGCCCCTGGACCGAACGGTCGCGCTACTCGACCGGGCGCGGCCATAATGCGCGCCCCCTCCATCGTTGCCGAGTGCCGAGAGGCTGAGCTGTGTCCCGAGTGCGGCCCCAAAGGCGGCGCGCCCGTGTGAACCGCCACCCACCCCCTCCCCCCCGGCCACGTGGTACGCAGGGACACGCGGCTACAGCTGTCAACGACCCCCAGCCATGCAGTCGGCCGCCGCGAGGCTGCTCCTCTCGTGCTACGCCGCCGCCCTCCTCGGCGCCGCGCTCGCCGCCTGGCAGGAGAACGTCAGGCCCAAGATGTACGTCCAGCTCGGTGAGTCTCACGCTTTGTTTGTATCTACACTTCTTCCCCTCTCGTCATCCCTTCCCTCGTTTAATTGAACTTAACCGGTGGATTTACCAGGAACCGCATATGAGTGTCGGGTCTTGTTCAGTTTACGAGATTTGGAGAAATATCAAGAATTTCAAGAATCCCCTTAGACGTGATTCTTTTTAAGGTTCTATTTATTTACGTAGCTCCTGTTATGTGTGACCGCAATGAAGCGGAAGAAGCGACACCGATTACTTGTAGCCGCGCGGGGTGAATTACGCCTTCCTGTTCGGTATCCGACTAGCGAATACGGGATGGGCTGCTGCGAATCGCTCGTTTTTTTTTTTTTTTTTTCTTTAACCCGCTAAATTCCAAACGCGAGTCCTGGTCACGAGGGGCAACTCGGCCTTGACCCGCTCTAGCCTGGTCCAGCGAGAATTTCTCCGGTTGAGAGACCCACGCCGTTGAATCTAGGCCACATTTTCTAGGTCTCGATGTCGAGGTGAGTCTCGCTTTGTCCCGACGCGGATCGTCCATTAGTTGCGGAGCCGACATCTCGCACGGGTCGCGAGGTCGGAGCCGACCCATCGAAGGGGCCCCGCTTTGATTTCGTCGACTCCCTTTTTACGAGGGGGTCCTGCGGAGAGGCTTTGGTTTAGACCCCGTGACTAATGCCGCCCCCCGCCCCCCACCCTTCGACCCGCTCCAAATTGATTGGACTGCGAATCGTCCGGCATGAATTATTCATACTTTACCCCGCGATAAACCAATTTCCCGTCTAACCGAATTAAAAAGCCGGGAGGGGGGAGGGGCCGACCCCCATCCCCGAAAGCTGGCCCCGATAAGGCGCCGAGGGAAAGGGTTGCACCAACCCCTGGGGAATCTCGGGTGAATTCCGCCGGTGCGGGTCGAACGTACACCGGATCTGCCCTCCACCCTTCCCCGAGGTTCAATATCGATAACTAATTAATTTGCGTTAACATTTTTGACCGAACAGACGCGCGACGCTTTAAACGCTTCGATCGATCGGCCAGCGTGCTCCGGATTGTGCCGCCCCCCTCCTTACGATCTCACGCGTTAGGTCGAAATGGAAATTTATCGCCCGGTAACGGGGGTGATCGGTTCTATTTTCGATCTCGAACCCGACGTGGCCGACATTTATGACCGACTACCTTGGCTCAACTCCCACCGGAGTCGATGTTACCCTCTGGCGGTGTTTATATTCGGCTTACCTCTCCAGGTGTTGTCCCTGTTTACGGATCCAAATAGGCGACTGAGACTCCACCAGTCGCTTATCCTTTTCGTATTGTCCTAGCTGCATATTTAAAATGAACTGCCGGCGGTGGGATCGGGTCATCCCGAATATCGAATTGCGTTCCGTCAGCTGGCTTGGGGCTTCTTTCTCAATTTTTCATGGCCTGGGGTATTCCTTGTCCGGGGATTTATATCAGATTTGCACCCGTGTTCCATGTAATTACCTTGTAACGATGTTCCCGGAGGTTTACGAAGGTGGCGAAAAGTATCCCCCCTCTCTTCTCTTTCCCCCTTTTCGCATCTTTCCTTTTTCCCTAACCTCATTCTCTAACCTCTCTCTCCCTGAATCTGATTCTCGAGGTGGAAGTCGTCTCTTTTCGTCTCTTATCATCTCTTTTTGTCTCTTTTCGTCTCCTACGAGAGCGTCCGGCTCGCTCCTCATTTCGTCGTGATCTGACCGCCGGGGCCGGGGGGGGGGGGATCGCCTAGATACATATTGCGACCTACAATCCAGATTGCAAGCATCGCGATCCAGATTCCAGTCCCTGGTGTAGATAATCCACCCCCTCTTGCCGTGGCAGGCGCGCATTCGCTCCGGGGGTTCCCCGTAACCGGGGAGAAAATCAAAGCGCGGATTATGCAAGGAGCGCGTCAATTTGCCTCGATAATTATTACGGTCTACGACGTCGATGACTCGCGGCCCGCGCTACGAGATCGAGGAAGCCGCCGGATTAGAGATTAACCGGAGATTAACGCGCCATTAAGGTGCGCCTTGAGAAATATCGGCTCGAATGAATATACAATATGACCGTGAGGTATACGGAAACGACCAAATATCGATACGGAGCGGAAAAGATTGAATTCTCTTATTATAAATAAAATATTCCGGCGGATCGTACCTGACGGACGAAAAGTGTCGTTAGATAAGGAAATATTCCGTAATTATCTCACTGAAATACATTTGAATAAATCGAATGCATCGTCTTTTCGAGGTTGTGACAATTTGTTCGGGCCAGATGATTATTCGCCTAATTAACAAAATAGTTCATTGGTTCAGTGACAGTGTTTCCTTTTTGGTCTGAGTGTAGAAATTCGGTTGGTTTGCCCCCGAGATATTTGAGGTCGATCGACGAAAGTATCCTCTGAAATTAACGGAGCTACTTAACTTTGAATAATCTGGTCGGTCTATGTCGGGTTAGGTCAAGTGGCCCGAAATTGGGTTCACTAGGTCGAAGCGTCGTTTCGAATTGACGGGGATGCAGTCAATCGACGGATTTCGTTTGGCGACCGGATTGGTAATATACATATATATATTTTTTTTCATTTCCTTTTTTTTTCCTCGTCGAAAATGAGGGACGTCGAGGTGTCTCGTTGCACGGCTCGTCGGTCACGGTTAGGGGGGATGACCACCTTACAGGTGAGATCGTTTACGTCGCGGGTCGACCTTATCGGGGGGTCTCGTGACTCGTGGAGGCGCGCTTCCAACGTCGTTAACGCGATCGCTCGGCGATAAGGGATCGGTTGCACGTCCGATGACTTCCATCGATCCGGTCGAGCTTACGTGTTGAAACTCGATTGTTTCCGGTATACGTTACGGCGTAGTCGGCCGTAGTGGAACACCGAGAGAAAGAGAAACCCTTTCTAGGCAAAATACAGAAAATGTACATTCTCCATTGGAGATAAGATTTCGCCCTTTAATCGAGGGAACGATCTCGGGGCTTTAACGCGACAGCCTCGCGCCGCATCGAAGTCCGGCAATATTGTAACGATCGGAAGCGGTTCGCGATGAGACGGATAACGATCGAGCCGGTAAATTGACGGTGCGAGGGGTAGCGAGGGGGATGGCACGGCAGGTCGATATACCGGGCCTTCCATCGGAAAGTTCGATATTCACTCGACCTCTTAACCCGGACTTTTAAGACTCTCCCGCGATATTGGCCGAGACGCTTATTAAGGCGCCGCGACACTCTTCGCTCCTCGGTTACTCCGGGCTAAGAGGTAGGTCTCCCCGGGAGATGCATCCATTGACGCAGCGACCTACTCGAGGTGGGTGTCGCACGGAATTCGATTCCCCCGAGTCTAAAGAGTCGCGGACTCTCGACGGACACGATGTCCGAATGCCTTTCATAAAACTCGATACCGAAAATGATCAATGGCACTAGGTGTTAGGAAAAGGCCGAAATTGAAAAAAAAAAAAAAAAAAGAAAAAAGAAGAAGAAAAGAAAGAAACAAAAATTATCTGGCGCTCGTTGTCTCGTCTTCGCTCGCACCTACGGCGGATCAATGAACCGAAATTTGTCGGAGCAGGAAGTGCGGATAAGGGGGGGGGGGGACCCTCGAGCTTAAGATTCCGGTAGCGCGATCGCCGAGCGCGGACGTCTCCTACCGTTGTGTCGGTGGAGGCGAGGGGATGCCACGCGACGGGATTGACCGTATCAGGGAGGAGAAAGGGGGAACGGTGGACACGTTCGCCGAGAGGAACGGAGAGAGAGAGAGGGGGGGGGGAGGGGGGGACGATCGCGGTGCACCGTGTACGGTCACGCGTCGACGGCCCTCGCCAATCGCGAAGCGCTGTTTGAGGGCGAACGACGTAGCCGGTTATCCGGGGCTTTGGCGAGAGGCGCTCTCGCCTCCCTCTTTTACATGAAAAGCGCGACGTCGGCGGGACTTGGGTTTCTTTTTTTCTTTGGTTATATTTTTTTTTCTCTCTCTCCCTCTCCCCCCCCATCTTTTCTCCTTTTTCTCTATCGGAGGTCCGAGCACGGAAAATGGCCGCCGTTCGCGGATGCGTCGCGGGTACACGCGGCCACGTCCTTCCCCCCTTCGCGTGGTCCTGTATCGGCCTCTCACGTGACCCGGCCGCCAACATGGCCGCCGCCGGCACGCGACGTCAAAGGTGCCGACGCGGGGTCGCGTCCTCGTGCCCCGCCCCCCCCCCCCTCTTTCGAGGGACGATGAAACCCGTCCCTGGGTAGGTCGCTCCTCGAATTCTCGAGGTCGGGCCGCGAGGGCTCCTCGCGCGATATTCGGCTTCCCACCTGACGAGGTCGACGACGCGTCTCGGGCAAAAAGAGGAGGGGGAGGAGGAGGAGGAGGAGGATCGCGGCCGCGTCGTCCCTCGTGGCGGTCGTTGGCGACGGCGGCGAGGACGGTGGGCGAGGGGTCGCGCGGCGCGGGCCACGTGACCGGGCGGTCGGCGAGCCGAGCGCGGCCGAGGGGAGCCGAGCGCCGGCGGAGCCGGCCGGGGACGGCCGAGCGCGGGCCCGAGCGTCGCCATGTGGTGGGCGCTTTTGCCGAATGGCGATCAATACCCGGGGAGAGCGCGGCCCCCCGAAAGCCAAGAGAGCACGAAGTTATGCGCGCCGGCATTTTGGGGGTCACCGGAGGTCCCTTCGCCTCGCTCCGATTACCATTCCCAATCTATTCCTCGTCCACCCCCCCCCCCGCCCCCCTCTCCCTGGACCCTACGGAGACGTCGATCGCGACGATTCCTCGCGCCGAGGGTAACCCCTGGAGAGGGGTAACCCTCCCGAGATGCCGCGGCTCCGACTACCGATTCTCGGCCGTTTAATCTCTCGCTTTGTGTCCGGGCAGCGAGCGTTTCCGCCCGCCCCTCGCCCACCGGCAGGACTCTCATTCGATAATAACAATAATAGCCGCCGCGCGCTTTGTCTCCGTCGAGGATCGACCGTCCTCTGGGAGCCTCTCCGCCCGCGTCTTCGCTCCGAAAAAATACCGAGGATCGCGCG